GATTTTAAATAGAAGTACACGCTAAATATGAATTATTTGAATGACATTTTTTTTTTCTAAATTGTTCACTTTCAGAAAAATAAACTTATACTACCTTGCAACTTTAGAACTTACAAACATACAATCAAAACACAAAAACTGTCATTAAAAACGGTAAAAAAAAAAGATAACAATTTCCTAGAATAAAAATAAATAAATAAAAGGATAGGAAGTCAGCATCTCTAATTACTAGTTAACAAAATATAATCTCACCATCTCACCATAAAATAAGAACATATTCTATTTAGAAAATTTGATACTGCTTAAACAAAATCGAGATGAAACCTATTCCTTCAAGAGGCTCTTGTAAATATAATTGAAAGTTAAAGATGGACAAAACAGTTCAAATTGTCGATTAATGAGCTCAAAAACATGGTATATTTGTTTCAGTTAAACTAAATTGACATCTTATTTATAAATTTATAAAAAGTAATAAATTTTAAAAAAATTCTAAAAATTAATTGTTTAATACACTTTCTTGGATATGTTGAGACAAATGTTATCAAGGAAACCTTCTAAAATCATCAAAAAATGGAACCAAAATTTTTCTGAAATGTTCTACACAAAGCTATAATTCATTCCGAAGGCCCTAGCAGATCCTGGAAGGCTTTGGATATTAAAAGAATACTCTATAAGTCTAAAAAATTCTGTAGAATCTTTTAGATACTTCAGAAATAATTTAGAAGTCTCTAGATCTCTCCGAAAATTATGAATATTGAGGAGTACTGTTGAGTCATGTAGAAGTATCTAAAGTCACAGAGGAATATCTTGTAGTGTGTTTTTTAATAATACACTAGAATAGTTATGTCGCTATATAGCTCTCAAGAAGTTTCTAAGTTTAGAACTATTCCTTAGCGTTCTAGAATATTCTTAAAGAGATCTCCATTGACTATAAATAAAGATAAGCACCAACTCATTTGGTACACACAAGTTGAGAGTGAGTATGAGTATTGTAATAACATTTTCTTAGTAAGAAAATCATTTTTCCCAAACTTCTAATCTCGCCTTACAACCATCCCATATTCTTACTATAATCCTGTAAGTATGAGTGAAAAGTAAGGCTTAGCATTTTCTGAGTACCAAAGCCGCACATATTTATAGAAAGATTAGGTGCATGATGGTTGATATCAAAGCCTTGGCTTAGAGTGGCAAAGGTTTTAAGGATCAAGAAGCCAAAACCAAGATCACTAATGTAGAGTCATCTTAACAAGTTCGGGGTCATGAGGAGCAATGAGAAACAACAGCACCAAAGCCACAAGATAAGTCCAAAGACATACTTTCTAATTTAGAGGCGCGCTCAACTCAAATGAAAGAAGATAAGGGCAAAATGGACACATACATGGATAATCAAGATCTATAGGTAGATGGTCTGGAGAAAAAGTTTGTCAAAGCCCATGACAAAATGTATGAAGCCTTAGCTGCAATAGAAGAATCCAATAGGGCAGACATACATGCTTGTTCGGATGAGATTATTGTTAGGTAACTAGGATGCGAGAGGCTTGTTAAGAAGAACTGAAAATTATGGCCTTCCAGTTGAAAGTGACATTGACACAATGAAAGGAAACATAAGAGGACTTAGCCTTGTCCAAGAAGACTATTCTAGATAGCCTAACTGCACGCATGACAAAAACTAGATGAATCGACATACCAAAGCCAAAGAGTCTTGCAGGCACCAGGAATGCTCGAGAAGTAGATAACTTTTTATGGGGGGGGTTAGAACAATATCAAAATGTTTTTGCATTATGGAGAAAGAAGCTAAAATCAAGAATGCAGCATTGGACCTCACAGATGTCGTCATGTTATGATAATGATGGTGATAAGAACACATAGGGAGGGAAACATGCATGATTGATAGATTTGATGCCTTCAAGAATGAGCTAAAAAGGCAGTTTTACCTGAGTAGTCCAGGAGCGTTTGAGACTGTCAAGGACTTCACCAATCCTGCGATAGAAATCCCCAATATGTCCGACAAGGATTCACTCATTTTTTCTTCATGAATAGGCTACAGAAGAAGCATCGTGGTATGCGAGACCTTATACCATTGTTACCAATAAAAGTCTAATTGACTATTCCAACCTAAAAGAGCCATACAAGAGCAAGGATAAGAAGTGTGGTGTAAAGGAAAAAATAATCACGGCACCACAAAGGAGAATCAAATTTCAAAATTACTCCAAATTCAGGGACAAAGACGAACAAAAAAAAAAAAAACACTAATCAGTCTGCTCCAAAACATATCAAATTTCAAAATTACTCCAAATTCAGGGAGAAAGACGAACCAAAAAAAAAAACACTAATCAGTCTGCTCCAAAACATGATTATTTCTTAGGGCATTTACAACATACCACATGATTGTTATGTATTTATAAATGTAACACCTAAACATCATATTTACATGCATAACACAAATCTTTAAAATCACAACAAAAATATAATTATCACTATTTTTAAATAAAAGTGAAATACACATTTTCATGCATAGGTTTATGATATTAATATATTATAAGTAATATCAAACATCGGTGTTAGATATGTAACAACAAAAATTGAGTTGTATTTAGGTAAATTCCTCTTATTTCTTATGTGGTGGTCCTCATTACATAAGAGCGTCCAAAAACAAAGGCATGTAATGCACTAACTATTAAGTTTGAAGAACAAAAGGCAGAAAGCATAAATAAGGATGCTCGTTGTGGGACCTTGCAACTCCTTAACGACTCAACCCATCCAAAGTTCTCCAAAATTATAAGCCAAGGGATTGCTTATTGTGGATCTCACCCGTATTAGAAGGGACATTAAGGCATTGATCGACATGGGGGTAACACACAACTCCATCGCCATAAAGGAAGCCAAGGTATTGCATCTTAAGATAGTTGACATAAGAGGAAAAATGAATGGCGGTCAATTTCAAAATACTACTTGGAATGATGTTCTTCAACAAATTCAATGCATCTTCAATTTCCTTTGCCAACATAATTTGCATCTTAGATAGGGATAAGTCTTGTGAGAGCCAACAAAAAAAACTACCAAATCTGATGCAAATGTATTATCAACAATGCAATGCATGAAAGGCATTAGGAGAGAAGAGAGTTATTTAATCATCTTCAAAAAAAGCATAATATTGAAGAGCCGCTTCCTCAACCCACCTTACCTAAATAAGCAAAAGTATTTGGAGAAGATAAAAAAGGTTTTTACTATGGAGCAAATAGAGGAAGTGTGGTAGCTGATGAACGAAACCAAAAAACCAAAACTGTGATTCCATAATCCTCAAGTGAAAGTGATCAAGTAGTAATAACTATATAACCTTGGAGTAGCAGAAAGTCTAAGGATGATTGGTGGCACTCCAAAGATAGAGATTTAGCATTACACAAAGGAAAGGTGATATGAGGGCATCAAGAGCTATGGTGGAGGAGAAAGTGATGCCCCACCAATGATCAAGGAGGTTAACCACACATTCTTGGGCATTTTGAAATGAGTGCAATCAAGATGATCTTTTAATATCATCTTAAAATGGAATCACAATATTCTAGAAAAATTCAAAGAAATCTACACAAGTCTAGAACTCATCCGGAAGGCCCTGGAATGTTTTGAAAGACTTTTGATATTATGATAATAATCTTCAAATCTCTGAAACTCTTTAGAATCATTTTATACTTCATGAATAAATTGAAAGTCTCTAGTTCTCTCCAAAATATTAAGAATATATAAAAGTAATGTAGAGTCATATAAAAGTATCTACGTAATGTAAGAATGTCTAGTAGTGGGTTTCTTAAGAATACTTAAGAATTGGCATGATTGCACTGTAGCTCTTTAGAAATTAATAAGAAAAGAAATATTTCATAGAGTTCAAGAGTATTCTTGAAGGGGTCTTCTTAGACTATAAATAGAGGTAAGAATACCCTCATTTGAGACACATAAGTTGAAATTAATACCAAATTTTGTAAATCTCTTTTTTATTAAAAAAGTTCTTTTCCCAAAGCTTCCACCATTGCCTTTCCACTATATCACACTTTTACTAGTCTCTTGTGAGTCTAAATGAAAACCAAGGCTTAATTAATATTTTGTAAGTGCTAAGACCATATGCTTCTTGTAGAAAGATAGGAGTGTGATATTAAGCATCATAATGTATGTAGTTGGTCTTAGCTGAAAAGAAATGAGCTAAAATATCAAATAAACTTTGGGCTCCAATGATGATTGCAAATCAAAATCATAGAGAACATCTAGAAAACATAATAAAGCAGAAGTGTTTGGGTTAATATAAGAAACATTAACCAAGTAATAAGTGCAAAATATTTCTAGAGCTAAGGAAAAGAGTCCAGATGGATGTTCAACTCTCCTATAAATCCCAAAAAAATTGCCACATTGGAATGTCCATGTAAGGCTGCCATGCCTCCCAAACTCTGCATTGGCGGGAGGGCCTGCAGTTCTATAAACCAAATTGGCATCCTACAAAGCTAAATGAAACCCAATGATTAATATATCTATGTATATTATGAAAATGCTATCTGTAAATCTTCCTGTAATTGGATATACTACAAAAGCATTGTGTCCCACTAATTTAAAATAAACCTTGTCACTTCCTCTAACTCAAGTACCTATTTCTGTCACTGCCAATAAATATGAACTCAAATTGCACAACCTATCACTATAACTAAAAAATTTGCATTATTTGTTTCGACAAAAATACTATAATTTCTTTTAAGAACATGTAAAACATGACAATTTACTATTGAATTCCACTAATGTTGAAAAAATAATAGCAAAGACAGTAACATCCATCAAAAGTTAAAACCACATGTACTCATCAAACAGCAAACAAACCCCAACAAATCTAATCGCCACTTTCCAGGAAAAGAAAAAAAAAAAAAGCCACGTTCGATAAACAGTTCACAATGTACAAACTACAAACAAGTAGCACAAAAAAGAGAACAAAATTAACGATTACAAAGAAAAAAAAAAAGCAATACCGGTATCCTGTCCTCGTACTTCCTCATGATCCTCGCAGATTCTTCCTTTCTCGTCACTGTCATTCAAACGAACTAATTTCAATAAGAGAACAGGCACAAATCTTAATCAAAAGAAAACGGTCTGATCATTTGCATGAAAGGAAAACAAACCCAAGCTGTGCTCCTTCTTGTAGGAGCCGCTGCATCCCTTATCGGCCATCTCCACAGCTGCAATCGTCAAACGAAAACACAAAAGAGCATCAACCTAGTAACCTAATCCCCAAAAATCTTTCATAAACATCAAATCATCTACAAACAAACTAACTAAAACCTTCAAGAAGAAACTAATCAAATGACCGTGTGGATTTTCAGTGGCTTTCAAACAAGAAAAGAGAAGAAAACTAGCAAAAAGGCGAAACTGGGAGTTAGTTGGTGGGTTTAGTTGAGATTTATTTCTAGAGAAGATGAAGCGAAAGACGCCATCGGAGCATAAGAATTGAAAAACAACTGAATACAAACCTTGAACGGTTTGCTTACTTCCGAAACATGACATTATATGATCTTTTCGTCCTTCTAACTGTTTGCTTCCGCCATTTTATACTAAGCAACAAGTATCTACTATTTCAATCTTGGTCCGGAGTTTATTTATGTTAGTATTTCACATCTACTGCAAATACAGCATAAATATTCATATTTTTCTTTGAATTAAACTCTTAAAGATCCCATCCTAAACCCTTCTACACATGAAACTATTGCATTATCCTTGTAAACAAAGCTTTGCTTGCATTCGTATCTCATTCTAAATAATAAAAAAAAAACTCATTTTTCTTGTGATCCGGCCTGGTTACGCAGAACTGCAGAAGAATATTCCTCTCATATTAATCCGATTTATTCAGGTGTTATTGTGGTGATATTGATGTGTTATTGTATTATTATAATCGGAAATATTTTTATAACACGATAATACATGAATATCACCATAAAAATACTGGAATAACACGAGAAGTATATTCTCCTGTGTTAAAACGATTTTATTTTTATTTTTTTGTCACCTCCATGTAGTGTGATTTCATTGGAATCCGGACATACCCCTATGTCTCCAGACTTAATGTTTGTTCATAAGTGGAACAGATAGGACTATTGATATTGGCCTTTTGTGACGTCAACTCCTAATGAGGAAATTTGTATTTTTTTTTAATAATATTTTTATTTACTTTTTCTCTTAATGAATGAGTTTGCGTGACACAATAAGAATGACACCATTTTATATTTGGAATACTGCATTTAATTTTGGAATGAATACTACATTTAGTAACATGAAATATTATTATGGGGGCATTTACATAAATAACACATATGTAGCACAAATTTTAATATTTAATTGCATGGCACACATCTTTAATGTCACCTAAAAAATATTACTATCAATTACTTTTTAAAAATTAGATAAAGATTCAATACGTCAAAGTGATATAAATGTAAATGTACCAAAGTGATATAAATGTAAATATGAATTTTTTTGTGTTAGTTATGTAAATATATTGAAATTGTGGAAGTAAATTTCCCAAATTTTTTATTCATAACTCTTCATCTCTAAGAAATGTTTACCAATTTTTTCTCTTATATATTTGAATAAAAAAATAATAAACATTATAGTCATGTAGGCTTGGAGCTTAATAAATTAAGGGTCTGTTTTGCACAGCTTATTTTAGGCTTTTGGAGTTTTGAAAAAGTCGAACTCTTGTTTGGTTATCGTGTTGGAATGGAGGCCCAGAAATGCGTGACGGATTTTTTTAAGGAATCACGACTGCGGGATCGACCTAGCGGTCCGCGTTTCACCATAGCTTATTACTGTTGAGCCCCTCGATCTCATCCTTGTTCTCGCCTCGTTGTCTTAGCTCTGCGATCGAATTCCATACTCGCGCCTCTCTCATCTACCCTTCTCCTCTCCCTTCTCCGTCTGTGGTTTGGTTATTAGCCCCTGTCTTGGAATTTCTCTTCGAGAACGTTCTGCACACAATCGCTCTACCTTCTAAGTAGTGAGCGGATTAGGTAATCCATCTTACGGCTTATACTTTCTCTGGGTCTTCTTCCATCTAAAGAATTGACGGTGTCCTTCTATATTTGTTTTCTTGGATTTTTTTCCTCAATTTTGCGAAATTTGTTTTGATGATTATTGGTCTTGGTTTTTGGAGAATAGTTCTGAAGTTTGTTGATGCAGATTGACGATTTTCTTTCAAACATTGCATGGCATGCATGAGTACATTGTGGAAAAGCTCTTTCCTTATGTATAACATCTTTCTACTGGATTTTCGTGAACCCTAGAGTATTTGCAAGTGAAATCTTGGTATAGTGTTACTCATCGTGCTTAGAATGGTAAAATATCAGGGTAATTAGCATTATAGATTTTTTTAGCATTCAAAACCCTTTGAGATTTGCTTTGAGCAATTATTTATGTACTTACCTATTGTTGGAGGCTTTCTTTTTTTTGTTTTTTTAATGGGTCAGTGTCCTGCTAGCTTGGTTTTTTGGTGCAATTTTTTGGTATTCTCCTTAGTCGTGCATGTGTTAACTCCTAGCTACAACACTTGATATTAGCTAAAAGAAAGAGAAAGATTTGTATTAATTGTTAGTTGAATGCTTTATCAGTTATGATTTCTTGCTAATTCTTTGATGGGGTGGAAACCTAATGATTCTAAGGGCAATTATCTTAACTTTGTCATAAGTTCCTAAAAATTTTTGTATTCACATATCAAATATATTTTGTGATGGTGATGAACTATTAATTATTAAATATTGAAAAACATATAATGGTAAAAAAAATTTGTTTTTTCCCAAATTTTTCGGTGTTAACTTATATTAAATTACCACTTAAATTGATCATACATAAAATAGAAACTATAATAAGGTTTCTTGTTAAGTTGCTTGTGGTTGACATGATCTCTATGGATGGAGGAGATCACTTGTGGTTGACATGATCTCTACGGATGGAGGAGATCTACATGTTATCTTCTATTGGTATTTAATGTGAATGTTTTTGTTCTTATTTTGTAATGCAAATTAACATGTTGAGTTTGTCAAATGTTACGTTTTTTTGTTTAACTATCAATTCTTCAATTAGTTCTTACATGGCTAAGATGAAAGAAGAGGATCCATCAGCAACGTGGAATAAGAAAGTTACATACATTTTTTGTGATCTTTACATTAAAGAGATTGAGGCTGGTAATGGACCGACCACATACTTCAACAAGGAAAGATGACAAAATATTTTGAAGAGGTTCAAATAATTGACTGTAAGGAAATATGATAGGCTAAAATTCAAGAAAAAGTGGGATCAATTGAAGGAGTGGAAGTTATGGATAAAGTTGAAATGGGGATCTGATGGATTGGGTTGGGATCCCATTAAGCGTACCATTGATGTTTCAGAGGACTGGTGGAATGAGAAGTTAGAGGCAATAATGATGGAGTAACATGTATTTTTTGCTCATTATCATTTTTATTTTGTTATAACTAATATGACACCTCACCCCTTCCCCCCTCGCCAATTTAAGGTATGCAGAATTGAGCTAGACTTTGAAGATAAATTGGATGTAATATTCAAGGGTATTGTCGTGAAGGGTCAGTATGCGTTCAACCCAAGTGAACAGGGGTTTGTAGGTATCTCAGGTGACTTGCCACCCGAGCAGGTAACGAGTTCTGGTGAAGGGCCTAGCATAAACGTTAGGGAGGCCAAGTCCACGTGCCAATCAAAGAGGCGTAAGGTGGGAAAAAGGAGGACAGAAAAACATGTTTTTGTGAAGAGCTTGATAGATAGAAGACTTTGCAGCTCTGACACCTCCTGCTACAGCTGACACCACCATCGATGATTTTTTTGTAGTTTTAGATCCTAACCAAAGAATGTCTTTTAGATCCGTAACTCATGACATGCTACTTTTGCATTTTAGAATTAATATTGTCATCCTTTTATTAATTATAATTTCAATATGTTTTTTTTATTAGGTATCTTGATACTCACTTTTAAGTGAGGTGTATATCATAATTTTGTACTCCTATGAAGTGGTTTTTTGTTCACAATTGTCAACGTGTGGTCGTTACAGTTCTAGTGCAAACAGTAACACTGTGGAGTGCCAGAATGATCATTTATCCAAAAAGGCTGAAAATATGCTATTTTCCAAACGCACAAAACAAACAGCTAAACAGTTTATCCAGATCAAGGGAATAATGATCATTTATCCAAAAATAGTTGTAAATCAGTTGTATTACAAAAGCACAAACCAAACAGCCAACCAGCTTAGAAAATAAGCTGCTTATTAAGATAAGTTGGATAAGTTGCAGCAGCCCCAAACAAATCCTAAGTATAATATCTTTATTTTTTGAGTTTTCTTTTGGAGATAAAACATTATCATTACATTAATCAAAATCATATTTATGAAAAAAAAGTTATAGTGTGATATTGCACCCTATTCTCATCAAAATATTCATTTTTAATTTGTTTAGTAATTGCTCATAAAAAATTTAATCCATAAGAGATTGAGGATTCTATTATTTCATTATCTTGAATCATATTTAGTTTATCATAATTTTCTTAACAACATTTAAGGATTTGTTTAAATTCAAGTTTAAAATTTCATATAGTTATAATCCCTCAATATTAATTATCTCACCTATTATAAAAACATTCAAAACTAAAGTAATCAATAAACTCAACATAAAGAGACTTGTTGGATATATATATGATTGCATATATATATTCAAAAGATTAGATGTTACCTCTATTAAAATTTTATGATTAAATCATTCGAGGTTTATAAAGTTATCAGTCTAATTATTAGGAAGCCTTGGATTTGACTAGAGGACTTTCTTTAACAGCCACAAGTTATTTTATGTAGAAAACTTCTAAAAAAGCATAGGCTAAAGGGTATGATAATCTATAGTCAAATCCATAGCTCATTAAAAATTATTGATTGTATGGAATGTTATTTTAATGTTAAAAATGAAAAAAATAATAATAATATGAAGCATTGTCCCTAGGGTTAAATTGAGTAGTTAGGTTTTTGTCTATATAAACTTTACAAATAATTTATTGTCATTCTTCTAATCGAATTTGATAACTAAGGGTGTAACTTTTCTACCCTTTGGTTAATTTAAATTAACATTTTTATAAAAATAATATATTATTTCTCCTTTACATTTCTTGTGTAAGTATGTTTTTTTAATGGTGAAAGAAATTTTTTTTTCGAATAAAGATGGGAAATAAAAAAGGGAAACATTGCAAGTAGGTGAACTACTCATATTCATTAGCTGATCCATAAAAAAACTTATCTAAAATGCACAAATAATGAGAGAATATCCTTCATAAGGTAGTGAGACACCTAAAATATATAGTCTTTATGTTCATATTTTATATCTATTTTTGAGATATTGCGCTTTAATGAAAGGTATTTGTGTGTTTTTCTTTCATGTACAATCAAATGGATGAAAAATGGTGAAAGAAGTGAAAAT